TAATAGGGTATAGTGACACAAATCCTCCATGGCCATAAATTGTCACAGCACCATTGATTCTTTCTCTCCTCCTCTGCATCCCCAAAGTGTTGCCATCCACATACATCAGCACTGCTCTGGTTTATAAGTAGTATGCTGCTAAACAGCTCCCAGAGGAGGCCGCATTTCGGTGAAGGATGAAGGCTGTGTGTATATGGTGGGTGTATGTAATTTCAAAATGAATCAGGACATTAACTTTGCTACATAATTATGGCTCAATTTTAAGCTGCTGTTTAGTTTTCATTCTTCATCAGAGGAGAAAGGAGTCAATAGTGAGTAGGTTTTCGGTCCTGCTCGGGTTCAGTATTTAGGCCAATCGTGTTTAATGCAGTTTTTGGGCAGGGAAACAGCTTGAGAGCTGCTCAGTGCCTCAGGCTACCAGCTGCTTGCTTAATTGGCCTGGGAGCACAGTGGAAAGAAAGCTGAGACACCAAGTCAGCTGGCTTTCAATATTGTTCCCAACTGGAAGAAACCTGCTTATTGGGTTGATGTGGCATCCACTCTCATAGATGCACAGCAACTGTTCACTCAGGGATGGTGCTATCAATAGTAGCTGTCCAGTTTCTTTGCATCAGGTCAGCGTGAGTGAAGCTTGAATCCGCATCTTTTTCTTCTGTTGGGCAACACTTGAAGGCTGCTGAGCTAAAATTTACTCTAAGACTGAGCCTTTCCTCATCTGAGGGGGAGGTTTCAGAAGGAAGCATGGCAGGCACATAAGACACGTTGAGGAGAAGGCCTAAATAATATTCACAGACGCATACAGAAGGAAAATAGACATAGAGGACAAAGACAATAGTTTGGGGAAGTAGAGCAGTATGCTCTGAATTATTTTTCCACATACTCAGTTAACTTGACTTTGACAGCCAGTAGGGCTCAAAATGTATCGTTCATCAAAAGTGGTGGTAAGTGTTAAGCTATAGGGGAAAGAAAGAGTTTCTCGTTTTGATAGATTTTTGTATTAAAAAATCCCAGGAGGTTCTTGCACTCTTGTGGAAAATGTAAGGAATTTGAATGGTTTGGGGGTTTTAACCTCTAAGTTGCCTCTCTTTTGTTTGGGAAGATAATATGTTGTATGCAGTAAGCACTTGGATTTGAAGTAAATGCTACTAAAGTTGTTTTACCTAAGACATTCATCTCTTTGAATGTGCAAGGAATGTAGACTGCTTATGATCACAGTGATTTGTTTTATAATTATGTAAATACTGTTTAGTTGGGTTTTCAAGTATTTTTATAGGTATGTATGGGTCTGGTGCATTTTCACAGGTGATTTTATTAGCCGAGGTCCTAACAAAATAGGGCCAAGTAATCCTAGAATCGTAGAATGGTTTGGGTTGGGAAAGACCTTAAGATCATGCAGTTCCAACCCCTGCCACGGGCAGGGACACCTTCCACTAGAGCAGGTTGCTCCAAGCCCCTGTGTCCAACCTGGCCTTGAACACTGCCAGGGATGGGGCAGCCACAGCTTCTCTGGGCACCCTGTGCCAGCGCCTCAGCGCCCTCACAGGGAAGAGCTTCTGCCTTGGATCTAACCTAAATCTCTGCTGTTTAAGTTTAAACCCATCACCCCTTGTCCTATCGCTACAGTCTCTGACGAAGAGTCAGTCAAACTTGGTCTGTCCATTTCTCTCCAATTAATAACTTTAAAACTTGTTGACAAACTGTTCTGACTTGAAAAGGCAGCAATCTTGATAAATAATTTTGCAGTTTTCCATACTCAGTGTTGTCATACAGATTGTGTGTTGTTATTAGTGCTTCTGCTAAAGGAGAAAACAGAAGTTGCACATTAGATGGGTTTTTTTGTGGTAGCATCTGACTGGCAGATCAACTTGTTGCTAGCGATGGTATTTTCTTGGTATTAAGTCCTGAAGATGCTGACAGTTACAGAAATGTGATAAAGGAGGAGTTCAAAGAACATGTAGACAAATAGGTGAGAAAACAAGCTGCTTCTGCTGTTTATAAATGACTACTTCTGCCAACCAGAGGCTTTCTGCAGGTAATTCATCAGCTGGTAAACAACCAGTGTAGCAACCTTTATTACGCTGATCATAGCTGGTACTGCCTTTGTGTAAACTGTCCTCGCAGTCGATGAAAGTTGGCCTGCAGGACAACTGCAGATGACAGAACAGCAGTTTCCCCAACTGTGTAGTAATTATAGTATTTGATACAGTGAACCTAAACAGGCACTAATAACAAAGTGGGAGACAGAATGTTTTATGCCTTAAAATTATCCTATATTATATTACTATGAAAATATGTCTGGTAGTCAAAGTACTACTTGCTTAAATGTTGCTTATCTTTTTAAATCGATGGAGTTAATTAGTATCAAACTTGCTGTGGACAGTCTTAACCCAGTTTAGACATTTGGCTCCTGCTAATTTTGTCTAGATGTTTTCCTTACAAACTCAAGTTTAAATAGAATGCAATGAAAGCAATAAGACTGTAGGACTTAATTTTATCCACAGGATCTCTGATAGGAAAGGCAGGACCTCAAGTGATTATTTATTTATTTTAGTGAAACTACTCCAACCTTATGTACACAAGTTCTCATAATCAAAGTTAATGAGGAGATTATTGGTAAACAAAATGTATTTGATTAATAGCTAGCATCTTCTTCCTCTGTATCTTCTGCATGTAGAGTCTTTAAAGCATACATCGCATTTTCTACCATACTTCTAAAACCATATAAGCAATGTTATAAGCCAGGTTGGATACTTTGACTTTGCTTCTCACTAGGTTTAGCTTCCCTTGCACTTCAGCACTTATATCCTGCACATCATCTCAGCTTTTGGTTTCTGACTGTCACAGTTATTTCAAAAAGGTGATTTCAGTTCTTTATCATAAAGATTAGTTTTCATTTTAATTTTGAATTTAAAGCCTCCCTGTTCTTTGATAATAGAACTGTCCATGTACTTCACACTTGGGAAGGTTCTCCTCCTTGCATGGGTTTTGCTTTCCCCACTTACAAAGTTGCAGGTGATTGTATGCCGTAGCCTTTCTGCTAATTGCATCTAATTATACATCTTTTATATCTTATGCATAGCCTTTAAAGTGCACTTATCACACTAATTCTTGAATCATCATGGTTTCAAATACCTCATTAGAGGAACACTTCTCATCACTCCTCTTGCAAATCATGCCCGTTTGTCACAAATGTTTACTTCTTACACAGAAAAGGGGAAGCTTCTCTCCACACCAGCCAGCCTCATCAGCCCTGGAGTTCTGTGCAGTTGTTCAAATCTAGCTGAGATCTACTACTCTGGTGTAGAAAATACAAATGGAATTTGTTTCATTTTAGCCTCTCTAGGTGGTATTCCATATCCATGTGGCCTTGGGCAGCCATGTGGTTAACTATGTCCCCTACCAAATGCTTCCTCTAATCTCTTACTGGCAGGAAGGGGAGAGTTGCCAGTCCCTTTTTGTTGTAACTGTCTTCACATAGATGAAACCTGAGTCTGTTGCCTCATCTCTTTCCAAAATAGGATGGTTGCCAGCAGTGATGGGAGAGGTAGCAAACGAGAAAGGAAGGAGCAAAAACTGTGACTGATGTAGTGGGGAGCAACAGATGTCATGTGGAAAATTGAGATACACTCAATAAGCATTTTCTACAAACATTTTCATACTGATGTAACTTAGTTATGGGGTGTGAGATACGAGCATATGAGAGAGTGAGTGAGTTTAAGCTTTGAGGCATTTTAGACAGATGGAAGTTTGTGGCTGAAGACAATTTATGTGGAATTACAGGCTAGTGGTGTTCACAGCTTAATGATTCTGCTTTAAGAGTGATTTTGTGTTATAATTAAAGAGATGTGGTGAAAGAGAATAGAAGGAGCTGGGTTACAGGAAGCAAGGGAAGTAAAGGCCAAGAATTGCTGCTGTTAAAAGCTTGTCATCCAGAAAGAGCTATACCCTGTGTAAGAACATGATACTGAGAATTACAGGTTACTCTTGTGGTACTGACTTCAGCTTGCACTGTTAGCCAACACAGATTTCTTTGAATACATTACTGAAGGCAATATCACAATAAATGAATCAGAAAAGATGCTTTGACATCTGTATTACAGATTGTATTAAAGTATATACTTATCCAGAACAGAATAAAGCTGTGTCTGAATCAGCACAAAGAACTTGATATTTGGCAGCAGAAAAAAAAACCCCAAATACTGTAATACTGTGGGTTTTATTTTCCAAATAGGCTTTTAGCACTTGAAGCAGAGCTCAATTACTTAGGGTATTGCCCTTTGTATAAAAGGGAAAATGGTTTATTTGCAATGTATTCACCTTGCCAAAATGACTTGCTCATAGCTTGCTTTTCCATGATTCTTTCTTTTGATTTATTTGATGTACTCAGAGATCACTTGTTGTTAACTGTTTTGTAAGCTCCTCTTGTTTCTGTTCTTGTCAAACTTGAAATTAATAAATCTAATTGAATTTTTGCAAACCTGTTTATTGTAATGCTTTACACTTGGGGCTTGTATCAATTGAAATAACAAAACAATGGTTTCAGCTGAATTCTGGTGCTATTGTACAGTTAACCGACTAAATCTGTAGTGTTGTTATTTCTCCTGTTTTCAGCAAATTCATCTTCTCCAAATTGCTTGAGTTATTCCTTCTATTATAATTTTTAAATAGGTGTTTTATAGAAATGCTTTTGGACATTTTGGGTATGTCACCATTTTGATAGTGCATTATAGACATTTTTCGTTAGAGATAATGGCTTTCAGTAACATTAGTGTGAGTCATAGAGTATGGTATGTGTTCCCTAAGCATATTGTTTTAGCCTGCATGTTCTGCATCAGACTAGCTCATCTTTTATCATTCATACAGTTCAGTGATATATATGACAGCGTTTCCTTTATTGCTGAGGAGTTACTGCTTTTCACCAGATTATTTGCATTCTATGCTTTGAACTTCAAAACTGGTGATACTCACATTGAAGTTTTGTGTTTGTCATCCTTTAACAGAAAGAGCTATTGCAAGACATGAAGTCAGAGAAATAGAACAACGTCATACAGTAGATGGCCCCCGGCAAGATGTGGCACTGGATGAAGAAGATGATGTGGTGATTATTTACAACAGAGTACCTAAGACTGCCAGCACTTCCTTCACAAATATTGCCTATGATCTTTGTGCAAAGAACAAATATCATGTTCTACATATCAATACAACCAAAAATAATCCCGTTATGTCTCTGCAAGATCAGGTAAGCTGCTGTGTCTGGGGGGGGATGCCTTTGTTAAACAAGGGGGAAGTATAGAAAATTTTTTCCTATTGCAAACAAACTTATCTGGTCTGATGGAATTGGCTTTTATGCCACATTTTCCAATATAGATGAATTCTAATGTGTTGATGTTTTCTTTGTAAAGAATTACTATTATTTATTAAGTAATATTTAATAAAAATTAACCTGAATTAAATAATACTTAGGTTTTTGCTGGGCTACTGGAGGCGGTAAGTGTCTGTTTATCAGCTGAAAACAAAGCCAAAAGGGACACAGCTAGAGCAGAAATTACCTTTGTTGTTACAGCTGTAAAAGTTCATTGTATTTTCAAATGTCTGCCTTTTAGTGGTATAACAGTATCTGCCTGTCATCTCTATCTGCAGTGAACGCAGTCCTGTGTGGTTTCCTCTCTGAGTAGTGCAGGTACTGTGCCCTGCTGTCAGAGCTGTACTTCCATCTTTGGTACTAGGTCTGGTCAGGTCTCACAGGTGATAAAAACACGCAGAAGGAAGCAATTGTAAATAACTTACACTCTAAAGGATGGGTCACTTTGTATTCACTTAAAGCTCTCGCTAAAATCAGTGTAGTCCCAGGCTAGAAATGATCATGGCTACCACTGCATCAGATGATGAGTATTAAAAATGATGATGAGGGATCAGTGCTGTTTTACTTAGGGTGGGGTATGCTGAGGGAGTAGGGGTTTTTTGTTTTATTTTTTTAAGTAATCTTGTTTTGCTCGTGGCGAGTGCACGTGCAGGGAACCCAGGCCAGAGGTCTGACACATCACCATGTCATCAGCCCTGTCTGTAAAACAGAGGTTTCCAAACTCTCGGTAATGTGCTACCGGTTGTATGCCGATGATCTTAAGCTGATATGCAGCAGAGGCAGGAGCTGTTCTGCATTGCAGCATGTCAGCACAGGCTTCCAGCTCCTTTAAGTGCATGCCTACAGGCAGAAGCAGCTCAGCACAGCTGCTGGAGTGGGGCAAGGGGGAGCAGATGGTAACAGGCCTTCCTTCCACTTTCAGTTCTCTCTGTGGGAGAAAGCTTGGGGTAGGGACCTATGTGCAGGGGACATTGAATGTACTTGACGCAGGACTGGGAATCTCTTTTGTGATAGTGGGGTTATGGTTCGGTTTTTGATAGTGTGAAATCTTTTCCTAACTGTGAAGGTGATATGGTCATACATGGTTGTTGAGATCACCAAGAGCAAATCTGGTAGCCAGCCCCATAGTCTTGCCTACTGCATAGAACAAGAAAGACTTGTGCACTAACAGCAGAGGGATTTTTCAGAAGGTTTATCAAGCCTATATCTATTAATAAAAAATCATACTCGAGTCAGTCACACTTAGTGCTGCACTTCCAAGCACAGTTCTGCTTCTGTCAAGGTGTCTCTTTGAAAGGTAGGGGTCTGTCGTGAAGGACAGGAAAGCTGGTCACTAGTGGTACGAATTAAACATAGGCAACCTTGCCTTAAATTTCTACTTTGGTTTGAATTTAATTCAAATCAAATTTGATCTTTACTGGCTGGTTTTTTTCTAACAGAAACTCTCCTCCTCATTTTCCCTCTAATATTAGAGGGAATATTATAATTATCTTATTATCTATTAAAAAATGACAATCCATCAGTGCTGGGTGTGTATACAATACTGGCAGTCCTTCTTTTGATAACATGCCATTGTCCAAGGTGGTAAATTATGTTGTTTAATTATACAATTGTTACTCCTCTTCTTTGATAGCCATTAACTTGGAGATGCTGACACTGAAAAACTTTGCATATTGCATAGTTGTTCAAAGGAGAAGAAATATCTGTTTAGCTGTAGTATATCAAGATAGCAGCTTGCCACTATATGTGATAAAGCAGAATTCTGGAGATGGCAAGTAGCTGGTGAGGTTTATTCTTTGTGGTCTTGGTTTTGCGTGAAATACATGCCACTTTCATCAATATAGCTCACTTGAGTGTGTTAGGTGTACATGCACCCGTAGTAAAATACACAGACAGAGAGAGACAAAATTGTTTGATCAGTGATACTGTTTGTTAAAGCAGATCTCCCTAAACAAGGTGAAGATTGTCTTGGGCCTGTCAGAGATTTGTAAAATAGTGAGCCCTCTATTATGCACTTCTGCTGTTCTATTTCCCAAACTGCTCTAGATCTGTATTTAGATAGATTTTAAGTTCTCTTTCCATATGTGAAACCCTTACTTGTTGAATGCAATCTGCAAAAACCCCTGTTTAAAATCCACTCCAGATACAACCTGTATCTGATTTGAGATAATCCAGTAAGAGTCCCTAACACATCCATTTTAATTTCAGATGGAACTTGTCCCTGCAAGCCCTCTTTTCTTTTGCAGCTTCTCTGACAGCAGGATCCTGGGAACTGCCCCTCTTTCCACAGGTTGGGCCTTTTCTTTGCAGCAGACTGAGTGCCATGTTGCATTTCTGACCTGTGTGGTCTGTAACAAAAACACTTGGCTTTCATTAAATCAGAGTAGTGTTTTCTTGGATTTTGTTGCCTGCATGTTTCCATACTGGTACTTTTTGTGGCTATAAGTATGCCTGCGTTGTGGCTCGCTGGATGGCATACCAGTCACACAAACTTTAACCTTTTTGTTACATGCTGAAATTGTCGTCTAAAACGTTTAAAGTGAAATTACTGTTCTGTCTTGCAGCATGTATTCTTTATATAGTATTAGAAAAGGGAGTGTAAGAACACATTCTTTGTACTGCTGTTGTGAACATAGAAAAGCCCTGGTACAATTATCCAGCATTTAGCTCCCTCAGCTCACAGTTTTCTGTTCCTCGTTCTTTTTTCTCCTGCAGTTTCTCTCTCCATTTTTCTAAAAGGAGCAATCTGCAAAATGTATAATCTTGCTTCCAAATGTGTTCTAAAGCAGTGGCCTCTCAGAGGGTAGCACACTCATAGGGACTTTAGTTCTACTCCGACAATGGCTGTCAGAAGCGGAACAAGGAGAAGGTTGCAGCAACTGTTAGAAGTGGAAGTGCTCTCGTGTGCTCCTGAACATTCAAGAGTTTTTCTCTTGGAGTCAGATGGCCCAGTGAACACTAGTGTCCACTGCTGTACTTGTGCCAGTTACAGAATCACACGGTGGTTTGGGTTGGAAGGGACCTTTAAAGGTCATCTAGTCCAGCACCGCCAGGGTTGCAAGGGGTTTCCACCATCTATGTACCCCTGGACTTTCATACAGATTGTGAAAATAGGGATTTTGAAGCCTAATAAATTCAGCCTTTATTGCACCCCCTGAACCTCCTTGTGACCCTTCCGTGTTTCAGTACTTCCAACTGAGAAAGAACTGTTCATGCAAGGCTGTAACATGTTCATGCCTGGCTGCACCACAGCTGAACTGGTGAACTCTATCTTTTCACGATCTCGCAATATTGTTTCTCGGATGCCTTTGCCTTAAGCTTGCATGTGGTTTCTTATGGCACGCAGACAAAGGTGTGCTCCTAGCCTGTTTCCAATGTTCCTAAACTTCTGATTTAGAGCTAGCCTATATGACAATTTGGATAACTAAGCTAGAGTGCCTTCCTGCAGAGGGATTCTCATTCAGTCATCCCATCATGCTTGGTCTTGAAATTTGAATGTGAGATTTCCTTCAATGGGGACACGGTGTCTGTTGGTCTTAAGTCATACTTGAGTGGAAAATCCTCCCGTGCCCTCACCAGGCTGTGCTGGTGATATTCACCCCCCAGTTACTTGTAATTTTCAGTCACTTATTCAGCAATCAGCAATCAACAATCAACAATCAAAACTAGAATATAATGACATGAAAAGCTGGGGCCTTTTTTGGTATCCAAAAGTCCATGTGATACCAGGCCACAGGGTACTGACCATACTGCCTTTTGGTGGCAGAGGGTGTGTATGTTTTATTCAGACCGTAGCAAAGAGAGACTGATGGAAGCAGAGGACAGAGATGACAGCTTCCCACATCACTTTGGTCTGCACATACAGATTTCCCAGGGATTTTTTGCTCAGACCAAGTGTGCTGGTTGATTCTGTATTTTCCCTTTTCGCTCACTGGGACTCGTTTTAAATTCTTATCGTCCTAGAAACTGAATGTATTTAACTTACCTTTCAGGACATCTTATGGCCCCAGAGTACGTTTGATCTGGCTTTTTAATTCAGTGAAGCTCAGCTGATTTCTCACTTACTAAAGGCTGTGAAGCAACTTCGGAGCTGATTATATAAAAGCACCATGAAACAACTTCCCAGGAATTCCATTCACGTCTATCTGAACTTCTAAAATAACCTCGCATTTTATTCAGTTGGGTTCAGATGGAGAAGCTTGCTCAGTCTCTTGAAAGCTCCACTATCTGTTAAGCCCTGAAAAGAAAGGTAAAATTGATCATATTTAACAGTATGAAGCAGCAAGCAATATTCATCTCTGCCCTAAAATGTGTGAATCCAGACTTACTAGGCTATCTGTGACCTGGAACACTTCTGATTTTTGAAATGCTGCAAACGAGGTTGGGGGCAATCTCTTGCCTGCAGGCTGGTTATAGGTGTTAAAAACTGGTATTCTCAGGGACACAGTGTGGCGTTGGTCCATCTTAAGGCAGGCAAAAATGTCACAGCTGTCCTACAACACCTTCCTAGCTGCCTCTTAGCTTGTCTGGTGTAGGAAGTTAATAAAAGGCGGTAACATCCATCCTGTGTTCATAAAAATGCTTTCACTTAGCAGACAACAACATTATATGACAAAGACAATAAAGGAGTTTTTAAACTATTACTGGAAGCTCTAAGGTTTGATGCCAGATGGTGGCACAGGGATCTAAGACAGAACTGACCCTTGGGACTTTGCACTTAACATTTCCCTGTGTCTAGTCCTAGTCTATTAGAAACTGTGACACTTTGGGGCTTCGAAGTGATGGAAGGGAGGATAATAAATACTTTACATTTAGGAAACTTCTTTCCCAGGTATAGAAGTGTTCATAGCTGAGGGTGTCCACTGGAAATATCCTGTCATTAATCTTTAAAAGATACAGTCAATGAAAGTGTGGTTCGTTTCAGTAGCAGTAAAGGTAGATCAACTGAATTCAGAGTCTCATAGATATATATCAGTTTGTGCTGTGGACAAAACGAGACAGAAAAGCCAGTGCAGTTTGTGAAACAATTGTATAATATTGTGCAGTGCTTTTCAGCTAGAGTTGCCACCATTTTCATGTGCAGTCTATGATTTAAATTGTGAAATGCCACAGACTGTGAAACTTGTACATTGAAAAAATGAATGCTGCCTGTTATTAAAAAGTAATACACATTTCTTTTACCTGAGAGTCCAAGAGCCAGTGTTTGATGAAGTAAGTAAGTTTTACCAACCTCTTAAGTCCTAGGCTGAGAGTTGTGCACATTTAAAGGCACAGAAGCAGGCCAGCCTTGCCTTTTAAAATCCTCAGTTGGTTGGTTATAATAAATAATAAGTATCATGTTCCAGGACACTCTCAGTCCATCAGACCATACAGAATGTTAGTGCATTGTCTTGAGCTCTCAAACGTTCCCTTTTTGACTCTCTTGTCTCACCTCAGCATCTTTGTGGTTATCTCTGTCCCTGTGTAACAGAAGAGATACTGTAGACGTTCAGGGAATGCTGTCATCTCATTTGCAGCTTCACAAGTGGCATATCATTGTCAGACAGCTCAGGCAGCACAAGTTTATCATCTTTTCTTTATTATCCAATTGATTAGTTTTGAAATAACTTTCCGAGTTAAATGCTTTGATGTTAAAATACTTCGTTCATCTAATAAAGCCAAGCTATTGCAGGATTTGCATGTCCCACTTAATGTGATCACCCTTTCTGGTTTGGGGTGTGTACCTTATTTTGTTCTTTGAAGTGGAAAGCTATTCCTATTTTTGTGAAGTTTGCCCATAACTGCTTTGTCAGCCCTTGCTAAAGGGCTGCTTTGTGCTTTTAACATGGAAGCTTCACTGAAATCTTAAGCTTAAGGTAACAATTCAAAATGGTAAATTATAGATGTAATTTACATTGTATACCTTTATACAATTTTTGGATTACTCATGCATTGCATTTTGAGATGGGGGAGCAAATGAACCATCAGATTTGTTTCTTGTTCCAGTAAAATCGGTCTAAGAACATGCTTGTAAATCTGGTACTTTTACTGAAGGGACTGAATACAGATCAGACAATTCCATCAAAGGTGTACTTGCATTTCTACTTCTTGCTGAAGGAATTCTGCATTCCTTTCCAGTTACAAATAAAATGGACTGACAAAAATGAAATGTTTGTCTTGCTTTTGTGGAAGTTTTTCTTGAATTGCCTTTCTGATTGCTGTATTCTGCTTTGGTTTACTTTCTGCTCATTGAATTGTGGTGATATAAACAGAGTTATCTGTATGCTTGAAGGAAAGTCTATTTTAGGTGGCACAAATTCTTTGGTAATATTCAGAATAGACTTATTTTTTTTTTCTAATGCATTATAAGATTTTGCTTACAAACCAGAGGGCACCGTGTGCGGGGAAGCTCAGTGTGCTCCAGCTGTACAGAAACATTTTCTGCTGTCTACTTTTCCAGGTCCGGTTTGTGAAGAATGTGACTTCCTGGAAGGAAATGAAACCAGGATTTTACCATGGCCATATATCTTATTTGGATTTTGCCAAGTATGTTACCCTTGGATTTGTCTGTTGAGTAGCACCGTAGTTTAGGTTGCTCGGATGCAGCTGGGGTATTAGTGCCCTCTAGTGATGACAGTGACAACTGAGGTTTGAAACATTCACACGCTGAAATTCCTGTGATGGGCAATATTTAGGTTTGATTTTCACAATTTTCTCTTGTCTTTTTGTATGATAAAATGTAGCCGAGTCTCATTTCAAAACTATTTATATGCTACGTTTAGTATTCCTTGTGTGAATTACAAGCTTGTTTTACTGCAAATCCTGGCTTTTCTCTAGAACACTGTCAATTCTTCCTTAGGATTGCTTCCCATTCTGGGAAGTTTAAGATACTTGTTCTCAGTGTGTTTCATATAACAAGTAATACCACCTGCCTCTTAAGTTATGTAGTTCTTTATCAGAGTTATGTACTTCTTTATCAGAGATATATACTGTATCAAAATATTAAAAGTTATATTTTAAAGCAGTTTCCTGGCCTATAGTATTTTGACTTGCCAGAAAAAGCATTGAAATAATTCTTCTGAAGTTAAATCCTGCTGCTTCTAAAATTAATTTATAAGAAAATGAGGTAAAAATCCTCCCAGTGACTTCAAAGGTGCAGGATCATTTCTGTATTTGCAGTTCCATGGGTTTCTTTTCTTGTCTTGTTTCTCTAATGGATCTAAAGCAGTGATCCTCAGTAGCTCAGTCGTGTGAAGCCTCTCCTTGAACTGGCAAGTCAGTTTTGCTTAAGATGCTTACTAGGCAATGCTTCATTTTGCACTTGCAGCATGTGGAAAATCATTTAAAATTGAAAGTGGAATTTTCAGATCTCAGCATATTTGACTCCACAACCAATAGTAACCAGTACTTTAACCTCCTGCTGGTGGTCAAGCCTCAGTCACGTTATGTTTCCGTATATTAAAACATTTATGTATGAAGACAGGCTGAGAACATTGGGGCTGTTCAGCCTGGAGAAGAGAAGCTGCTGGAGGCCTCAGAGCAGCTTCCAGTGTCTGAAGGGGGCTACAAGGATGCTGCAGAGGAACTCTTCATCAGGAACTGGAGTGATAGGACAAGGGGTGATGGGTTCAAACTGAAACAGGGGAAGTTCAGGTTAGATCTAAGGAAGAAGTGGGTGCTGAGGCACAGGAATGGGTTGCCCAAGGAAGCTGTGAATGCTCCATCCCTGGCAGTGTTCAAGGCCAGGTTGGATGGAGCCTTGGGGGACATGGTTTAGTGTGAGCTGTCCCTGCCCATGGCAGGGGGTTGGAACTAGATGATCTTAAGGTCCTTTCCAACCATAACTATTCTATGATTCTATACACTGCTCACTTCATAAAGCTGAAAGCATTTTCAGGTACTCAAATAAAATGAAAATTATTTTACTCTAGAAAGCATCAATTTCACAAATTTCTTTCATCTGCATCTTCCCTCTAGGACCGTGTTATCCTTGTGCTTGTTGTTTGTTATCCTCTCCCCTAAATGATTTATTTTTCCCCCACAACAGCTTGCTTTCTCAATATATCTTGCATAATATCTTGAATACTTTGGCTGTGCTTGGCAAGGCCCACACTTTTAAGGCTGTGAGGTATGTTCTTGTAGTGCACATTCTTGTAGTTGAGAAGTATAAAGTATTTCCGACAAGTCGATGCTTGCTTATATGCAGATATCAGGCTTGGGTCCACAGTCAGGTATCAGGAAAACCTCTTAAAATATGCTGAAGCTTAAAGTACTGCATTCAATCAATGACTTATGGTATTGAGAACAGGTTATCATAACCCATCCATGTAGAAATTACAGTAATACAAGTTTAAATTTGTTTTCCTCTTTTTCTTGATTTATGATTCCCCCCCCATTCCTTTTTTTCTCTGGTAAACTGTTGGGGTGGGGGGGGGAAGTTCTTTGACAATGCAATTACAAAATCATTATAATTATTAATAAAGCTATAGTAGTAAGTACCTTATGTTGTCCTAACTGATGCTAGTTTTGCAAGGTTGTGTGCAAATCTATTTGAATGTACACTCCAACACAAACATTTCCAGGGGCTTTGACACCTTCGTTTAACCCACAGAAACATGTTATTGGTTGAGGCTGCTGTTTGTTCAAAATGGTTTGTTACAGCCTTCTCCAGCACTTGCAGTAGAGTCTGTAGAAGGGGACACACGTGCGTGTCTCATGCACTTCAGAGGTCAGGCCCCACTTCATGTCTCTCTGCATTGAAAGAGGACTTCGAACCATTTTGATGCACACACTCCTATTTTGCAGGCTTTGGGGGTAAGAGGTGGCATACAGACGGATGCCAGCAATGCCACCTTTGACTGCTACAGTCTAATGCATTGGTAGTCAGCTGGTAACATCTGAAGAATCACTTGCTGTTCTGTAGCCTTTGACATTTTCCATATCTGTATTGCTGGCCTTTTAATTGTGAGGTTTTTTCTAACTTCTCTGCTGCTTATTCTGTGTTTCTGTTCTTCAGCTTTGCAGTTTAAGATTCCTCACACGAGCAGTATCTGGTATTATAATTTACAAAGTACCATTTGAACAATAATGGTACCACACCTGACACACATTCGTGTTGTGATATAACGTCTTTAATGTTTGGATACTGTATTTATTTGCCACTCTGGTGCCTGAAATGAAAAATAAAATAAAACTGAGAAATGCATCGTAAAAGCTGCCTTGAATGTAGATCATTGGAAGGCAGCATTTGCACAAAACCATTTTGGTGGTTTAGATCTTTTCTCATGTATCCTATGAGCTTACCACCTCATTTCATCAGGCTTCCTGTTTGTACCACAGTAAATCAAAAGTTGCTTAAGGTAAATGTCTAAGGAAAAATGTTATATCTTCAGGTAGAGAAGTTAATATGGTTACAGATACTATCTTAGGCTTCTGTTTAATAAGCATAGCCATATGGATGCAACCCAGGTAATGGATGGGCTCTGAGCTCTGCCTGCCTTCTGTTAGAAATCATGTCTCTGACAACTGGACACCTGCCAAGAAAGCCACTTGCAGTGTTGCATAGCACAGTTCAGGAGGGCAGGAAATCAATATCAAACTTCCTTAGGTTTACTATAAACACGTAGGTGGCTGCTAGACTAATTAAGGCATTTTTAGAGCCAGGATGGTTGTATAAACATTTTAGTATCTATTGTGTGAGGATATTTAAGGTTCGTTTGCTTCTCTTAAAAAAATAAATAAATCACAGTCCCAGGAAAACTGAAATGGAACCAACTTTCACATCCATGTAACACACTGGGTAATGAAGATGAGAGGAAGCAATCATTAAACTTCTTCTCACTGTCATTTTCTCTGTATGTAGATTTCAGTTGTATCAATAGAGACAGGCTTTTAAGTATTAAATGAGAAGCTCTGATTTGGCCTTTAAAAGACGTTTTTTTCCTCTTTTACTTTAGATTTGGTGTCAAAAAGAAACCAATTTACATAAATGTCATAAGAGATCCTATAGAACGACTAGTTTCTTATTATTACTTCCTGCGCTTTGGAGATGATTACAGACCAGGCCTACGGAGGCGAAAACAGGGGGATAAAAAGGTAAAATACACTTAATTATATATGTTTTCTTACCAAAGTTAATGTAAAAAGCATTTTAAAAATGTCCTGATAGAAGCTGAATATTTCTTGTATCAGCCTTGGCGATGGTGGCTTTTTTAGTTGTGTTCTCCCCTTCCTGTCTGTACTAGGCCAGAGTGGAACATTAAGGATGTTAAGTGTAACATTCTATGTAACCTTATAAATTCACTTTATGTTACAGTTTGTTAAACAATTTAAATACAATTGTAAATGTTTTCAGGTTCCCAGAGATGTAAGCATGGACTTAAGCTTATCCTCTTGTGTAAGAATTCTGCATCTCTTCTTGTTGAAGATTGAAAGACATTTTTCACTAATATTTTTTGATAATTATAATAATAATTTA